CCCATCATTTTACTTTACAGCTCCAGGTTTTAGTTTTGACTGTATGTTGAAATACACTTCAATGAAGCTGGAATTGTTGACAGATTATGATATGTTGTTAATGTTTGAAAAAGGTAAAGTTATATTATGTGAAATATATTATGTGAAATAATCCTTGATTTTATTATAGGAATTCGTGGTGGCTTGACTCAGGCGAGCATGAGATATGCAAAGGCTAATAATGAAAAGACACCAGCTCATGATCCAGCACAACCGAAATCATGGCTTGTTTATCAGGATTGTAAGATCAATTTAATATTTAATTTTCATTAATATAATATATTATTTAACTTGCAGGTAACAACTTGTACGGTTACGCAATGTCACATTACATGCCATACGGAGGTTTTAAGTGGGTTGAACCAAAACTAGATGGGTTAAATGATTTAAACGATAGTTCACCAATCGGACGGATGTATGAGGTCGATATATCATATCCAAAAGAACTTCATGACAAACACAATGACTTACCATTCCTACCAAAAAATGATATCCCACCTGGTTCAAAAGTTAAGAAACTTATGGCGACTTTAGAATCAAAGAAAAACTATGTAATCCATTATCTCAACCTACAGCAGGCCATAGCCAACGGACTAGTAGTGGAAAAAGTAACATATTTTATCTCATTTATTTTATTTATTACATATTCTGTTTTATTGCAGGTTCACAGAGTTGTACAGTTTAATCAGTCAGACTGGCTTAAAAAATACATAGAATTAAACACCGAGATGCGGAAAAAAGCAAGGAACGACTTCGAAAAGGACTTTTTTAAACTTTTAAACAACGCTGTCTTTGGTATATTTATTCCCTTATTATGTTTTTAATTATTTTACTGACATTTAATACAACTTTAAAGGGAAAACTATGGAAAATTTAAGACGGAGAATTAAAATGGAGCTGGTTTGTAGTGAAAAACGTTTGCAAAAACTTATAAATAAGTGTACGTTTAAACACTGTACTACATACAGTGAAACTATCAATGCCATTTCGTTGGAAAATAAAATCATTGATTTTTGCAAGCCTATTTATATAGGTAAATATAATATACTTCTTATAGTAGCTGAATTTTAATATATTTTTTTTTCAACAGGTTTTGCAGTGTTGGAAATTTCTAAGACCGTCATGTATGATTATCACTACAACGTTATGCAAGCCCATTATGGGGATAAAATTGAGCTCATGTATACCGATACAGGTAAATGTTTTCAAACTATACTAATTTTCATATATTAAATTATACTGTTTTCCAGATTCACTGGTATACTATGTCCAGACCGAAGATTTTTATAAAGACCTTAAGAATAATTCCAATTTACTTGATCGAATGGATACATCAGACTTGCCATCAGATCACCCTTGCTACATTGCCGAACGAAAGAAGATACCAGGACTCTTTTCCGATGAAACCAACTCAGAGGTAATGACACATTTTTGTGCTCTCCGTGCAAAGTCTTATACATATAAGATCAATGGGAAAGAGAAGATCAGGGCAAAAGGAATCCGTGGCCATGTAGTGAAAAACCACATGAACTTTAACGATCATTACCGTTGTCTGTTTGGAGATGCAACCTTGGAAACTATGACAGAAAATGTATCTATACGTTCATTCAAACATCAATTGAAGACCATCAAGTCAAACAAAGTGACTTATAATAGTTTCGATGACAAGAGGGTTATACTCGAGGATAAAATACATACTCTGGCTCACGGTCACTACTCCATAGAGTGAGTTAAAAAATAATTAAATATTTTAATTAATCACACTTTTAATATTATTAAATTGTATAGGGAAACCAGAACACTAGAGGAAGCAGAAGCCGATTTAATGCAACTTGCAGAAGCCGAGCAAAACAGATAGTTTTTTGCATCCATAATGAATTGTTTTTATACTGTAAAATATCACTGTAGACATTATTTTTTTTATTCTGTAAAATACCATGTAGATACTATTTTTTCTGTAAAATACCATGTAGATACTATTTTTTCTGTAAAATACCATGTAGATACTATTTTTTTTTTTTTTGTAAAGTATCTCTATGGATATTATATTTATTATTATTATTGCAAATAGTTAGGATAGGGTAGTATAAAGAAATAACTCACTGGTATAAAAAAATAAATATAATGTTTATTTTTACATATTATTTACAAACCATTTTCTTAGACTAAATACTTTATAAAATGAACATTGTTTAGGATTGAAATTCATATGAAAAATACAACATGGTAAAGTTTCTTCATCACATATTTGGTCTAGTGGAGGGCATCCCATGTCTTCAATGTTAATAACTACAACGTGTGGTATAAATTCTACTAGAAGTTGTTTTTTCTGATCGCCTTTAACGTATATGAAGCTAAACTTTAACGAATTCAATATTCTACTTAGTTCTTCATACTCAACATCGCCATATTCCAGAGATAGTTTATGATAATTACGTTCCAACCACTTGTTAGTCTTACGACTCTTGTTATCCTGTATTGATTTTGAATTTTTAAAAATCCAATGTTGGGTAGCCCATGTTTCTACATCTACTACAGACATTTCTTTTATCATGTATTTATTGTCCCTCCCAAGAATGCAATGAAAATCAATGATACCAGTACACATTATTGCTTGGATGATGATGATAGTACTTTAGGAATTTTTTTTCAGATTGTCTGTATTTTCTCGGATATTTTGTAACAATGCTTCGATTTTTATAAGGCGCTCTTGTATATCATCACACGTTAATTGAAGTGTTTCAGTTTGCTCTTCCTGTGTTTGAATGGATTTATGATTTTCCTCGAGTAAATGTTCTAACTTACTTAGTTTTATACAATATGATTTTACGGTTTGTTCGAGATTTGTCACAAATTTTTTTGTTTCACCAGCCTGTGAACTTCCGAACACGTTCATGTCTAGTGTTCGACTGACACTATTTTCTGATGTCGCTCGTATCTATCCAACTATTGTGTGTATTATCGAACCCTAACCATTTTACAAACATTTTCTTCCCCTTTCTACGAATAATTTTTTCGACTAAATAATCGTTTGGGAAACTAGTTTTTTGAATTTCCTCAGAGTAGAAACAACCTAAAATCGGGCTTCCTGTATAATCTTCTAGTTGATAAGTAGTGGGAGATGTTTTATTTATTTAGGTTATTTTAAATATTTCTGTGGACCAGCTCGGCAGATATCCCTTTGAAAATACTGATTTATACGTGCTTATCCGAATACAATCGCCGATGTTAAATTTAATTTTTACATTATTAATTCGACGTTGCTTTAATTTCACTGAAGAAGGATTTGCATCAGCTTGTATAGGAGTCATACCTATTGTTCTATGTTTTGAATTATTATATTCGTTAATCAGAGATTGAAGAATAGAAACCCATTCATGTGATCCTCGCGCAGTGAATTCTCTATACATTTTTTCCTTAATTGATCTGTTTAGACGCTCAATGATACAAGCCTTTGTTGTACTATACGTGGAATATTTATGTATATTGTGTTTCTTCATCAGCGCATCGAATGTTACATTGTAAAATTCTTTTCCGTTATCGGCCTGCAATAGTTTTGGCGAGCGCTTGAGTAGTATTTTTGACATTGCATTTGAAACTTCTTTAGCCGTTTTTGACTTTAAAGGTACAGCGAAACAGTATTTCGTGTAGCAATCTATGATAGTTAAAATATATTTATAACCTTTATTCTTTTTAGAATAAGGAATCATTTCCACTAAATCGATTTGCCACAAGTCGTTTTTACCATACACATTAACTCTTCGCCTTGTATAATTTTTTCTCGCTGGTTTGTGTAATTCGTTCGCTATATCACGTTTAGACATTTGGAATTCGTTTTATTAAACCCGTTTCATACAATTCTTCGTAAATTGAAAGTATTTCGTTGGAAAGCCCTGTATTACCAGCAGCTTGCGAGGCTAAAAGAAGTCGTAACCTATCGACCAGCTCGTTCGGATCATTCCAATATACTAGATTATGCGTTTGTAATTTAACACCTGAGCCTGTGGTGAATAGCTTG